TCTTTTCCAACCTGAATGTATCTGTAATCTTGATCCAAAACTCACCAAACCATGTAAGTGAGATCAGCTACAAGACAGATTAGTCTTTAAGATGCAGATCTGGGTTTTCTTTCGTATTACCTAGAAAAGAAATACTTGCTAGTTTACAGGAATACAAGGAAAGTGAAACAGAGCTATTATGCCAATATGTCAATAGAAGAAGTTGTTATATTGTCAACTACAAGTCAGGGTATTATTGCCTGTGCTTTGCAAGTGATAATAGTGACACAACACAGGAACTCTCCAAATCTCTTAAATTTGCTTTCTCCCTTTACCATCTTATCTTCGATAAATATTTCTTATCCAAAATTAATTTTCTTCCATTGAAGCCAACACTGTCAAGATGATTTCTGAGAAGGTGATCTTAGAAAACAAGTATATTCGTAACAGTTATCTGTGAAATACCACAGCACTTTAATAGTAATTTGCAGGTCTGTGAGTGCAACAGTCTTCATCTTGTCTTCTATACAGTAAGTCTAACTTCTTAACAATGAAATTCCCTGCATAAAATTCCACAGAAGCTTTAACACCTGAGAGATTTACAAGTTGAGAACAAAGGAATGTCAATGGAATAGATTTAAACTCTTAGAATTGTGATTTGCATAAACTTCCACTTGGAATACATACAACTGCTAAATCTCCCTGAATTAACATTTCAAAACCACAAATTGTAGCAAATACAATACTATCCTCCTAGCAATCGTTTTGTAACAAGTATCATAGAAAGACCAAAAGCAAGAGATGTCACTTTCAAATGCCTCTTCTAATAAGAACATAAGATTTTAAACAAGACCTACCTGTAAGTTTCAAGATCACTTTTTTGTTGTTTTTTTGCCATATAAACTACTCCCCAGGCAAAGTACTGGAGCAGAAACAGTGGGAGTAACTTCAATGCAAACTATTTCAGATTACAACCTTAGCAGCACCTACACTAGCACTTTCATCTTCCAGAAAATAAAACAGACCCGAAATCAACATCTACTGATATGATAGTTATTAGCTTTCCATGAAAAATAACTTTAGAACTAATTCCCAGGAGCAGCCACTTGAGATGCTCAGAGTAACATCACAAAGCAAAACCAAAGAAGTTCGAAGAGATACCCAACTCTTCAAGGTTTGGAGAACCCTAGGAAGTAGACAAAAGTCAAATCTACCGTTTTCCTGACAAAATATTATGCTGGCTTGGCAAGTTGTTGATGGAATTCCACAGTATTTTGAAGGCAGGTGCAAGCAAAACACGCTTCACTGCAAGAGCCACACAAATGAGGTTACCAGCAACCAAGCCAGAACTGATCCTTATTTACACATAAAACACTGTCAGAGACAGCAAGCACAATATATGCCTATGCATTAGTTGGTCTTCTATGTACACTTGAAGAGTAGTTTAATTTCAATGGTTTAAGATGCTCTAGTAAAAGCCCCATAGATAATTTTCTACACTTTAGATAGCTAAATGCATAAGTTTACCTCAAGTGACCATATGTAGGTTAGAAACAGAAGAAATAGGCCAATTATGATTTGTCTTTCAACATTTTATGCTGCATGTGTGGCAAAACTAAGGCACTTCATAGCTGTTTCAGAGCTCTGAATAAGAAATCATTTGAACATTATGAGTGATATAAGCGACAACCCTCTCAAGTTTTCTGCTTACTACTTCTCATCTATATTATCTTACGTGGTCTAAATTCAACCCCTAGTTTTAAGCCTCCCCCCCTACACACACCTCCTCTGTTCTCAGATTACAGACTGACAAATACTGTAAGTGCTGATATTGGGTGTACTTGGTGATAAATATTTTTCAGTGTCACAGACATAATATCACTCTGTTTTGATTGAATTTAATTTTAGGTAATGAACAACTAAGACAACCAACATTAAGCTCATTGTGCAACATTCCCTTCAAAGTTAAAATAATAAGTCACCCAAATATAAACCTTTTTTGTTTTCTCACAGTAACTAAGATAATTATGGAGATGGGTATAGTGCAACTCAATTGAATCCTAAAACTTTTTATGAAATAGTCATGAATAGAATAACTGAGTTTTTCACAATCAAATCACTCTCAGTGAACAGAATCTTACCTACAACAATCTGAAAGACAGAGAAAGCTCAGTATCCAATCACTTACCCAAAAGATCGTTTCTTGAGATACACTATTATTTTTTAATAAAAGTGTATGAATCAGTTTTGCTTCTATAAAGAAAACAGATAATACACCCACACAAGAGTAAGAGCCAAAGGACTCACTCAGATGATGCTCAAGCTTAGGGAAGCATGTAATAGTAGACAGGGCTCTTTCCCTTCCCAGTAGCAATCAGTCTTTATTGGCCTGTCTTGCTTGTTCTTGCATGTTCTACAGACCTACCATATTTTCGTTGCATATACCCATTTCAGAAGTAAGAATTTAGTGAGCACGTGCTGAGCATATGGGCAAGGTAATTCCCTGCTCATTCCCACATTACTTAAAAGCAGCAGCCTGCTCCTCTTCCTATGAAAGGAGCTAGCCACAGAATGTTGTTTGCTTTTTCCAATAGGCCCTGTTACCCCTGTTCCCATTTGTTATGTTGCAAAGCCCTGGGCTGTGAGGAAGGACGACAGATGAAATATGAGTGCCAGAACAATTCTTCAGGAAATCCACTTTCAGTTCTACTGAAAAGAGAACAAATAGGAACAGCCCAAGAACTGGCTTAACTGAACTACCAAGCAAGACTGGGCTACCAGACCCTTCGCTGGGCAGTCTAACCTAAGCAAAAGCACAAAAGAGAACAATTTTCCCTGTATATCAGTTCCAGCTAGGTTAACTTTTTAAAGAGCAATATATTCAACACAGTGATCCCACATGCTCTACAGGACAGTTCACACATTCAAACAAAGTTTTCTCCCAAGAAAAAAACTTTAGAGTGTGTTTCTTTTCACAGTATTATTGCTATCTGCATAGCTGAGGCATTCACCTTTATCAACCATCATGGCAGTAAAGTTTTAACTCAGTCACTGAACTTGACAGTCAGAAAGTTTACCCCAGTAGGTCGACAGACCTTCTCCCCTATTAAAATCATCATATTTCAAGACTAGAAAAAAAAATCTAATACATGTTAGTAGAATTACATATCTCATCAGTACATTAAAAAAAATTAATCTGTCTCAAGCAGTTATGGCCAGAAGTTAACCACAGAATATGAGCAGTCCCAACAGTCACAGTACACTCTATCTAATTTTAGCCCACCTGCATATGTTCACTGCCTTCCCAAAAAAACAAGACTGTAGTTTAAAGCCACGTGGACAGCAATGAAATCATCGCAAATGCTTTTAGTCCTTGCTGCTACTGTCCTTCCTAAACACTAAATCCTTTACTCTCTCCTGCAGAGTACAAAACAGAGTAAAGAACTATTCTGCTACCATAATGTAATAAATAACGAAGGGGGGGGGGGGGG